AATGTTTTACAGTCTGAATGTACGCAAACGTGATTCCTACAGTCAGCCACACAAGGTGACGGCTTGTTCCGTGGATTACCGCCCGCTGTCACGCATGGCATGTGGCCATCAGGCAGTGCTGTGTGCCATCTCGGGGCTGGGCTCCAGCTGCACTCCTGCCTGTGGCACAGTCCTCAGACAATTTTATGATTAATACAGCAAAACAAATCAATACTTGAATTCACATACAAAGTCTTGCTTTAGTGTGTCCGAGAATACCCATTTTCAGAGGTGAACAGATGTGTAGGCCTCCCCTCCAAGCCTCTCCCCAGATGCTTTCTCACACAGTGCAGCCCACAGTTTGGTGTGCAAGAAGACCTAGCTGCTTGAATGGTGGAGGAGGTAAAATCTCAGAGATTTCAACAGTAGAAGGCAGAGATCCCCTTAATGTTCCCACAGAAGGAAAAGCTGCCATAGGAATTCCTCTTTTGCCTGATTCCAAGAATTCACATGGGCAAAGGATGTTGCAGACATGACTCATAATTTCTGCTGCCTGCGGAACGCTCGTTGCCTGTTTCACCCTGTTAGAGGCCAGTGTGCTAGGAGCTGTTAGTGCATTCTTAGCATCTCCACCAGTGAGGAGCAGTGGAGCTGGCTGGCTGTTAGAATAAGCAGCATTTTGAAAGTACTGCATTGCTATAAGTACCACGCTACCATTTGTATTTTCCTTATGGTGATCCTAAGAGTTGAGCAGGTATTAAATGGATCCTATTTGATTATGAATAACCTTTTATTCAATTTAAAATTAAATAGTAAACCCAATGGGGAAAAAAGGCCTGAAGATATCTGAGGAGTTATTCAGCGGTACAGTCAGAAAATTAACAGCATCAAGTATCTCACAGAAAAGGGCTCAGCTGCAGACAACAAGACAGCCCCTGCCTCCTTCTCAGAAAGTATGGATATTCCCAGTGAGATGTTATTTTCCTTTGGCTTCTGTTTTTGCTTTGCATCTGGCGTGTTTGAGTATAATGTTTGCAGATCTCACTATCACGTGTGAATCTAAACAGCACGCATACCTCAGAGAACACCTACATCTTCAGAAGAGCAGTGTGACATGCCTCTGAGCCAGCTTTCTCTTCTCCATCTTTTCTGCTCATTCTTATTAATGGTCGAATAGAATTTTCAATACATACAGAAATTTGCTCTGTATATCCAATAGTAAAGTTGGGTTTTCAAGCTAACATTTCTTCTAAAGAATGACTATCTGCAGGCATTAAGTCTTGTAGAGGCAAGTACCTGGCACTATACTTTCTACCCATTTGTTTATGAATATGCTCCAGAAGTAGTTTGCATAAAAATTTCAATTTCCTACCCAGTGCAGAAAATAATCATTGGCAAGAGGAGACAGTGTAGAGAGAAAGTAGAACGTGTTGCTGCTGACCAAATTTCCACAGATTTCAAGGACTCAGTGGAAAGTACACAGTTACATAAAAATTAACTTCTGTAGGCCTACGTGGATGAATGCTGTTGTTATTCTTGTAGAAACATATCTAAGGAATCTTATTCGTAATTAAATAAGCATGAAGTAGAAACTAACCTTCTTGTTCCAGGAGAGTAGAAAAAAACTGATTTAGACAGGCACATGCACTTGCTATTCTTTGTTACTAACTGTGTGCCTGTGCCTCCTTTTTAGCTGTAGTAACACTACCTTGTCTATCAGCAAGTGGAAACAATAAGCTTGCTTTTTCACCAAAACTAGCTAAAAATGCATGCTATTGCACATCTTGGAAAATGCGTGCTGATAAATATTTGGAACACTGGTCTCAATTTTGATCAGTGAGCTATACTGATGAATTATACTCCTTCTGCCCTCCTACTCTCTTCAGTGTCTTTTACAGGGAGATTAAGGTATGTGGAGATGTGGCACTGGGGGACATGGGTTACTAGGCATGAAGGGGATGGGTCAGCAGTTGCACTAGGTGGTCTTTTCCAAAGTTTATGATTCTATAATTCTGTTATTTCAGTGTGGTCTCAAGCAAGATTTCATCTCTGGCAAAAGCATCTGACTCTGCACTAAAGAGGCCAGCTAGAGATTAAAATTCTCTTCAGAATTGACCAGGTACTCATTTCTAAAGAAGAGTTGTAAAAACACTGTATAAACTCATAGCACACAGTTAATTTTCCAATAGCTAAGGTAGGCTTCTAATCGGGCTTGGGGATTTTTCTGATCAGATACCAAACTAGGGGTGCACACTGTGGTTGGAAAAGAACAATGATGTTTTTACGTTGTTGTATATTTCAGGTCTTTAAAATAAACTCAACCACACAGCAGCTCCCCACAGATACTGAAAACAGAAACTGTTGAAGTGTTTGGTTGGTCATAGAGGAAGCAAAACAGAAGTATTTTATCCCTTTAAATTAAGACTTGTGTAAAGTACACAAGCCATGAATCTGCAGGTAGTTTTAGCCATCTGGCAGACCACACTCTCCTCAGATATGTTCACATCTGTATGCTAAATGAAACAGGTCACATTTACCCTGTCCACATGACCGTGAATTACACATAAACCTATGACAGGCATCTTTTTGTGAAGCATTTTGATAGCAGTGTAAACCAGCTGGTATGCTGAGAGATGTAGAAGACCTTGTTATCCAATATCTTAGATTTTCACTTGCATTGAATAACACTTTGCTCATGTTGACTTTACTCCTGTGAAAATCTATGCATCTACTTATACCAACGCAGCAAAAACAGTCCTGCTCTGTGCTGTGATGAGTCTTCATGGATTGAAAAACTCAGCAGCTCTGAAAGTCTTCTAAGGTTTGAGTCCTAAAATTATTCTGGAAATGTGTGGTTACTTACATTTTTTCTGTGAGGAAGTTTGTCCTTGTTTTAGGAAGATTCTGTTTCAAACCTTCTGCCTTGTGTTTGAAGTTTATGCTTTTCTGAAGTTTCTATCACACTGTAAACAATATGCTGTATTTTGTACACACAAGTTACCCATGCAGAAAGCTAATGTTCACAGGAAAGATAACTTACTTAGTCTTAAAAATAAATTGACTTTGACTTGACATACCAATTGACTATTTACACAAGAAGAAGATGTGGAAACAATTTACTTGAAGAAATGGCAATTTGTGCTGTGCATTCCATTACTATGTGCTCTGAAGTAGCATGATAAGATATACACTTCAGTCTAATAATTTTATTAGAAAATGTATTCTCCATAATAATTTCTAGGCCACTCTACAGAGTTGTATTATTGTAGCCGCAGTGTACCATAGTAACTATACCTAATGTGAGATGCCATTCTTAAGAACTTGCCATTTCATAGAATCACAGAATCATAGAATGGTTTGAGTTGGAAAGGACCTCAAGGACCATGTATCTCCAACCCCCCTGCCACATGCAAGGCCACCAACCTCCCCATTTAATACTAGACCAGGCTGCCCAGGGCCCCATTCAACCTGGCCTTGAACACCTCCAGGGACATGGAGCATCCACAACCTCTCTGGCAGCCTGTTCCAGCACCTCACCACTCTCTTGGCAAAGAATTTCCCCCTGATATCCAACCTAAATCTTCCCTCCCTCAACTTAAAACCATTTCCCCTTGCCCTGCCATTATCTACCCTTGTAAAGAGTTGATTCCCCTCCTGTTTGTAGGCTCCCTTTAGGTACTGGAAGGCTACAATGAGGTCACTCCGTAGCCCTCTCCAGGCTGAACAGACTTGGAATTATTCCATTTGAACTCCATTTGAGTACATCATCAGGCTAGTTACTGGTTCTGTAATAAACTGCGTCAGTTCTCCTTGTTAGTATGGTGGGTTTTTTTATCAGCTTTGCATGTAACCTACATCATATGCTTCCAAACCTTTTGTGCACCTATACCCCCTTGTGCTATCTTTCTTCAGAAGCTGCAGTGCAGACCGTTTTGTTGTGTGCTCAAGGAATAACTGAAGACAAATTGACTTAGGCAGTGCCCGTGCACTTGCACTGATTCATAAATGAGCTGACATCAATCTATGTTTATTTGGGTGTTAATACACAGATCTGTGGGTGTGGGAATGTGGGGGTGGATAAGTTGACCTGTAAAGGTTCCATCCAGCTGATTCTTCTGTTTCTGCGATTTCTAAGGAGAGGGGGTGGAGGACAAACTAACAGATGGGAAGTATGTTTACTCTCTCTTGTTTTCAGCTCTCGTATATCAGTGCCCAGAAATGCCAGCTGAATGTGGATTTGGGAGTTGGGGGAGGACTGTTGATGGCTTCAGTCCTCTTTATTTCTGCAGAGGGAAATAACAGGCGTCTTTCAGAGTATATTCCTGAATCACATTGCCTCATCTTGCAGTTGAGTGCCAGACCATGAATCCCTTCTGCACATAGAGAAGCATTTGGCTTTACAGAAAGCTCTGTCTGAACAATTCATAATGGCTAATAAAGAAAGCACTTTGAGTCCTGACATTGTGGATATTACACAGGTAAATCAGTCTTCAGAGGCTGATGGCCGACAAGCTTTTTTACAGGATACATCTTTCACTGGCAGTGCTAATTGCTTGAATGCTAGACATCTACAGACAGAGGTGAGTAAATGGAAATTACAGAAACATTAACAAAACAAAATATGTTGCAATGAGAGCAGACAGTAGAGCCATGTGACATTAGATTTGCCAAATACCATTTGTATTCTTTCAGGTTCTGTATTGTCTGCCAAATATTACCTTAATTTTTCAGAATCCAGGAGAAAAAAAATCTTTTTTCCTCATTTTTGCACAGGTAGTATTTTCAATTGATAGTTTTAAATCAGAGAAGTATTGTTCTTTTAATCTTTCGTATCCTTCTATTTACAACCTGCTGCTGATAAGCCTAACAATGAAAAACAAGAACATACCAGGTAGCTCCTCAAAGGGCTTTTGAGCCCAGTTGCTTCGGCAGTCATGCATGCATTTTGGTGACTCCTTGCACTGAGGTCACAGGGACAGTAAAGACTTCGAGGTATATTAAAAGCAAGGTTTACTAGTATATGTATCAGAGTAATTAATGCTTTATTAAGGAGCGCATAAGGAAGACAGCAGAAGCACGTAACTGGACTTTTCTGAAGCCCTAGATCAGGGCTGCAACTGAACTGAGTCAGGAGGAATGTCAGAGGGCTCCACTTCCCGTGCTCTGCCAGAAGCATTTCTGCCTGGGCTGCTGCGCACCATGCCTGGTGTAAAGCAGGCACGAGGGTGGTGTAAAAGACTCCATCTGTTGTGCTGGCTCTGATCCACTTGGCAGAAGACAGAACCTGTGAAAGTAAGAGATGAACGAAGGGAATTGTGAAGCCACTTCTTCCTCTCTGTTGCTGATATGTACTTTCCCAGAAGCAGGAGAAGTAGAGTCCTTGTCTTCAATTGCTGCTTACAGAGTGAGGGAGACCCTCCAGTAAAAGCATGGGGACATTCATGATTTGGATTCAAGGGTCCAAATTTAACAATTTTTGAAGAAACAAAATGTTCCGTAAACAATAGTAGAAAGTAAAAGCACCCTTTACCACTTCGGAAGCCCAGCACAAACTTCCAGGTAGGCTTCTCTGCTCTTAGCTGGTTTCAGTTCACTAATTAGAAAATGTCAGGATCAAGTTAGAACTGGAACAGTTAAAGTTAGTTCTTGTAACAGTCTGATGTAACAAGCCATTTCTAGATGATAAAACATTCTTCTAGGTGATGGGAATGCACAGACAGCCTCACGGCAGGTTCTCTTTGGGATGAGTGCAGTAGTTACAGGGTTAGCTACCCGTATGGAGCACCTGGCTATCTCCTCCTTAGGAAGGTCACAATTTATCAGGATCATTCAGAACATTTTAGTTGTCCCTATTCCTTCCTAAACAAAGCTTTTCCTCTGGAGTCACAGAGTCCTCTTTAACCCAGATGTGATGTGATCACAAAATGAGGAGGGCCTTTTTACAGCCACACAAAACCAAAACAAGGACAGTACGAGATAGTACGGCTTCCTTGTGGAGGTCAGATGGGAAAGAAGACACCTGTTTTGTAGGAAGCACATCATGAGGCTGGGGAGGCTTAGTTTCACTCTGAATGTCATTACTTCCTCTCTTGTGAATGGAAAAATGCAAAGCAGGCTGGTATCGTATGTCCACACTGACATCTAGTGCTGAAAAAATTGCACTAGCCATGGTGGAAACAAAGAAGCAAAAAGGTGTTGGAGTGGAATGAAAATCTAAGATGTTTTTACCTTCCAATTCAAGAAGAGAATCCAGCCCCCTGCTAAATCAGAATCTCTCCTTCTGAGCTTTTTCTAAAAAAGATCGTTCACTTAACAGTGAAGTTGTTCTTTCACTTCCCATTTTGATACTTTCTCATCATTTTTCCATACACACATAAAAATTGTATGTTGTGATATTTTACTGTGCCTTTAAGGGCAGGCAAAGACTGATTAAAAAAAAAAATCTGTGCATTTTTATTGCAATTTTTATCTTTCTTGGGGTAGTAAAAAGCAATAGTAGTGTACAGAATAATGAGTATTTTTCAGTGCCAGCTGCCAGCACACTTCCCTTCCCGTCACCAGGGAAATTTGAGATTAAAACCAAGTGCTCCGTATGCTTCAGAAGTGATATATGCATGTAAGCAATGGATAAATCCTCAAAGGAGAAGAGGAAAAGGACAGATCCCAAAGCTCTGAGATCAATGGGCTTTTTTACCCATTGAATCCCAAGCTTTGGCTCCAGTCCCAGGGGGATGTGTGAGCTCTGCCAGCCTCGCTGGGACACTGCAGCCCAAATGCCAGCGTGCTCCTGGCAAGCTGCAGCAATAAGGTTCAGCAGCGGCTGGCAGACGTGTGCTCCACAGAGGGAATCCTGTTGTTCATCAAGTGGCTTCCCAAGAACAGGGCACTTCTTGTTTCTCTGCGTGAAGACAAAGCGGGTCCTGACCTGCCAGGCACTGCTGATGAGATCCTCCAGAAGCTGTGCGCTGGGCTCTGCAGCACATTGGCAAGCAGTATCTGCTGCCACTTGGTGCTACCTGAGATACCTCTCACCTCCTCTTTCACAGCACAGCAAGCAACAAATGGGAGGGTTTAGCCCTGGCTGTTTTGTGAGTGCAAGCCTCAGGAGGAAATATGGCCTTCATCTGCCGGCAGTATCCTTCCCACCCCCCGAGTCAGACAGCCCAAGTATTAAGATCCATTTTCTTCTTTTTATTTTAATTTCAATTTCTTCTTTTAATTTTTGCAGTTCTTATATTTGTCTTGAGCACAAATAGAATCCCAAAGAAGGAAAATGTATCACAACATCTAGGCCGTATTTTTTTCCCATTTCTTGTAATCAGCAACCATATGCAGATTTTAAAAACATTTCAGACTTGTGCATCTGGGCTGGACAGATTGGGATGAGCAGGGAGGATTGGCAGGCCCAATTAGACCATGAGAAGCATAAGTAGCTGTCAGAAATAAGGATAGAGCAGGAGAAAGCATGTGGCATCTTTCACTAGATAAGCCGTAATGATTGGCATGCTCACTCAGAAACATTCTTTTTCTGATTTAATGGGGGCTTAGTGTAGTCTAAAGACAAATTGTCTCACAGCTGAGACCATGCTAATCAAGCATTAAAATGTAGGGTTGGAGTCTGATGTCAGTTTAAATTCCGTTAATATCAGTGGAATTATGCCAGAACGATACGCCCAACTTTGTAGGGTGCAAAACTTGGCATGTGTGTATCATTAGGAGTAAAAACATGCAAAACTGTATCACGTGTTGTGTATCCTCTTGAAATAAAAAGTGATAGAATAGTAAAAGTAAAAAATGTAAACTAGACTAAGATGAAGGGGAGAAATAGAGAGAACAAAGGGAAAACAAAAAGGAGAATGAGAGGGAGAAGGAGATGGACAAGGGAGAAAGAACAGAGAAAGAGAAGAAGAAGGAAAAGGAAGAGAAGAAGGGAAAGGGGAAAGGGAAAGAAAATGAAGGAAAAGAATGCAGGAATTTAGGAAGATGGCCTGATGAAATTTAAAAACCTGCACAAAAATTGCTAAATGTGTGGTAATAAAATTGAATTAGAACACTTCAACGTTGGTGTCGCCATATCATGTCCTCGTCCAACCTTCCCCTTCTTACTTTCAGGATGACCCAAAGCACATTAACATGTGAAAGGTGACTTTGCAGAGAATATTTGGTGCAGCGATTGGACATTAATATAAATACATTCAGCTGACAATAGTTCCTAAGCTTTCAGGGACGTTGCAGAGTATATAAAAAGCAGTGCTTTTTCAGTATGATACTAGTCAGTAATGGCTATAATCCCAACTCCAAGAGCCTGGAGCTGTTGGAGGGGTGTGGAGAGCTCAACAAATTCGAGTGAAGCCAAGCTGCTGCCAGCCTGTAACCCCTCAGCTGCCGGGCTGGGGACACGAGCAGGGAGACGTTTCATCCACCGCCGCATGCGCGTTCCTCTCCTATTCTTCAGGCTTTGGCTGTGAGCAGCTTACTCAAACTGGCTGTCCTCAGAGACAAAGGAAAATGTAAATGTGGTTGTGGAGCTCAGTGTTTTAATCAGCAATGGTAGGGGAAAACAATGCTTTAGAAAATCCACAAATATAAAAAAATACCTGGAATTAAAGAGCTTTTATTTTTGTTATTTGTTGTTTTTTTTTTTTCCCTGACATATTCCTCTTATATTTTGAGTATTCCTCCTTTCCTCTATCTGAAAATAGTTATTTCCAGAACCCTTTCAGGCTTCATATTTCAACTGAAATTGTGCTTGCTCATCCGGTAGTTTGCTCTGTCCAACAACATCCACATGTAGTTGTCATAAAGTGTAACCCACTGAGCTGACGTGCCTCTGCTACCCACACTCAGACCCTGCCTTGGATTCATGAGATTGAAGGAGAAATCTTAAAGCGCTTCTGATTTTACTAAAGGCTTTTTGCAAGGGCTAGGAAAAAAAAAACAAAACCAAAAAAGGATTCTAAAAACTAATAAAACTATGTTGGTGAATCCAAAAATACTCACATGAAGAATTTCTTCCCAGAAGAAGCTGGAAAGAAGAAGCAGTGCTTGGAGAGAAGCAGCACAGGTCACAGGGAAGCTTGCCCTTGATTTCCAGCTATCTGGCCTGATTGTTTGGGCAACTTGTAATTCACTTTGTCTCTTGTTGATTCAGTTCATCCCGTTCTGCTCGCTACCTCTTTATCATCCTGTCAGGATAAAACACTTCGTGAATTCCAAGCAGCTCAAAGTGCAAGTTAAAAGAACCTTAATAAGCACAGAAGGTCAATACATTTTATACTGGATCCTTGTGATAATAAGAGCTTTGGATATGCAGAGCTCTTACAGAAGTCGTAGTCCAACTTATGCAAATGCCAGTTACAAAAATAAAAGTCAGTGATGTTAGGCTGCTAAGCAAAACAATGAAGCCCAGAGCATGCAATAACCATTTCTGCAAAAACACTCTGCAAGTTTTCATACAGCTGGGTGTATCTTACAAAATGGGTCCCAGGTACAATTAATTATGTGGAGATTGTATTGGCTAGAGGAGCCACATATGAATTCACCTGAGGATTTAAAGGTATGAGCTATACTGGAATAATACTAGATGAATATTTTGTCAATCAGCAGCTGACATAAAGTAAATGTTTGACTGTTATTGCTGCTGTCACAATTAATCACAAGGGCTCGGGAATCAAATACTACAGCACGTACTGTTTTTCATTAACATCAGTGTGCGGTGCATATTAGGGCTTTCACAGGTAGGGAATTAATTCTTATTAGAATGTCTTGCGGGTATCAAAACTGAGGTAATGAGATAGGAATGAGCTGGGAGCCCAGAGGCAAACACAGGGTTTTATATCAAATGGCTTCTTAAAAATCAACCAGGGGAAACTCCAAGGAGAAAGGAGGAGTGTGCCAGTTGGAAACAGCCTTGCCTGCTGCCAGAATAGAACCTTTCAGCCCATATTAATTGGTAGGGTGAAAGATCATTAAGGCTGATCAGTCCCAAAGACAGCACAGAATTCGGTCTCTCTCTCTCTATTTGCTGGCTGAGTTGACTGCCAGCTCAGATCGTTGCTAGAAGTTTAATTATCAGCCCTGTTGTTTTCATTAGAAGCTGCACTTCCTTGGGGTTTCATTATTTCAGTTCTTAAGGCTCTTCTGTGCATGGTTTGATCATGTAGGCAGTGGAACAAGATTGATTGAGAGACAGATTTAGCCAGACTGGTGCTGAAATTGTGTTTAAACTTCACCTTTTTGTAACATGTTAAAAATCCTGCCATTATACTTACCAGAGAGTCCAAGAGAGCTGGAAGCACATCAATAGTCTCTGCAGAGAAACCTCCCTCAGACACCTTTTGAAGAGGCGTGTGATTAATTTGGAATCTCTCAATGAGGCCACAGCCCAGCACATATCCAGCAGGAAGGTCAATTGGTTAATGTTTGCTGAAATATATTCCAAATTCTTGGTTCTCACACAGAGCAGAAGATCTTTTCCCCATCCTCTTCTTCCATGTCTTCCATATCTTCCATATGCCAGCCTCCCAGTTCTGCTGGTTAAGGACAGTTCTCAAAGCACAGTTGTTATTGTGAGGCTGAGATATATTCTACATCTTCCAGCAGGTGCAACGTATCTCAGACGCCGAGAGAACCGAGGGGATAGAAAACAACACATGTACACAATATAACCTTATGCTGATTTTCAAAGAAAAGTGGGGATGTTTGTTGCCACAAATCAAAGAGGATCTAGAAGAGGTGGTTAGCTCCTCTTGTTCTGCACAGCAGGCAGTAATTCTGAAGTCTGTTTGTACAATATATGTATATGTATATGTATATGTATATGTATATGTATATGTATATGTATATGT